CATTGACCCCAGTGCTTTAATTGCATTTTTACCTTATAATGGCTGTCATTTCGTGATCATATATAAAGGTTCAATATTCATGCTGATCATGTTTATGTAGACTGTGCTACACATCTCTCACAATTAGTTAAATAAAGTATGATTCGGTTCATGATTACAACTTTGAGTTTGAAGTACGGGGAAATACTACCAATCCCTAAAGATTGGGTATTCCGATTCGACAAAAAGGAAACCGAATTTTAAATATATATCACGCCTTCGGAAATGGAGATCCTTTTTACTAGAGGCTTAAGTTCCCTAAACCTACCGCGAACCGTTCCCACCAACTCGCAGTACCTCATATTATGTTTCTTCCCTATCTGATATAAGACGTTTGTGAAATCGTTTGAACTGTTGTTTGTCAACCAGGAGCTGCTACCTGATTCAAGTTATTGTGGTCAGTTACAGTGCTTCAGTCAATTCTGTCTATATATTTTGCGATTGTTTCACTTTCTGTGCAGAAGTCAAGCATTCTGATATGATCTCATTTTCCCGACTGCAAAAATCCACGCTCTCTGTGACGCAGCACCAGCTGATGTCTAATATGGTACATAAAAATGGGATTTGTTGCAATGCGTTAACTTTGAAATGAAAGAAGGGATTGTGATTTTTAAGGATAGGTAGTATTTCGTCATATTTCAAATTCATAGTTGAAATCACGAACCAAGTCATACCTTTGCTGACTAAATGTTGTGAGAGATGTGTATCACAGTCTACTCAAACTTGGCAGTGTGACCACTTGACTGAGCGCTTTCAGCTAGTAGTGTATGCAGGAAAACGAATAAAGTTAGCACTAATATTGGAAACCGAAAAAACTAATTATTTTGTGGGCTTATTTACGATTATGTATCAAGCAGTTTAGAGGTAGCGACCTGTATGATTAAACATCTGCACAAACAAAATAACCGGAGATTCATTTCTCAATATTTGATAGGGAAAAATACAAAAGCGAAGCATATAATCAGCAGGTTTTATACGCTGTCTACACAGGTGACTACAATTCAGATAGTTACATACATCATTTGAGCTGTAATTCTTAATCTAAAATTGTGTGACTTAAATAACCCTGATAAAAGTTCATGAAAATTTCTAGACGTTCAGTAACATAAATATAACACAGTAAATAAATCAATCGTATTTCTACAAAGAGCATCTTACCGAAGTATTGTGGTGGGCAAGAGATACCGGACTGACTATGCTCGCCACTAAATGTTCTATACGGTCGCGTCACGAAAAGCAAAACAAAATAAATCCATATTCCATGGTTTTATTTAAGGAGAACGTTGGCATTACACAGGGAGCAGCAAACAGATAAAAATAGCGGCAACGCGAAGAGAACGTTGCGCGAAAGAAGTGGCAGAAGTGTTTTTGGTACAGTTAAACAAAACGAGTACAATAATGTTCACATTTCAAAGATCGCATTTTCTTCGTAGAAGCGTTCCACTACAGTATCAAAATCACGCCCCTCAACATAACCCTCGAAAAACTGCACATCAAAGAGAGAACACATAAACACGTGAACATTTTTTCTCATTACCACTCGTTGCAAATTTGAATGCTCTCTCAGCCGAAGAGGCCTAAGCCCACTCAGTCTACGGCTTCAATAAAAGACTTGATATATCCGTACATATGGATTATTATATCCCTGTGGGACCAGCTGCATCTGATGCACGTCTTGAAGTTTGCTTGTTGCTATCATTGTCATTTCCTATGATCAACCATTTATCCTATCTAGCTTATTACCCCTGTTTTATCTTTTTTGATTACTCTTTTGTCCTCTTAACAATGTTTAATACTAATTAGGTTGCTTAAATTATCATAGTTCTAAATTACCTAGTTCTGAAATCTGATTATTATTTTCTCACTAGCACTAGAATTTTCTCCCTAAAATTCTTCATTTTTCAACTAATTTAATTCCAGCCTGGTAAACTGATAGCTGCTGGAATCTAGAAACGCTGTTTCTCTGAAACAAATGTACTTATTCAAATCACGGGACATACATATTCATAAATGACTTGCAACTGACTAGAAGTAGTACAGTAAAGTGGCTAGGCTACAATTGATAGAGCATTATCAAGTGTCTGGAACCGTACAAAAACAGAAAGAATAGAATGCAAGGAAATAAATTTGCTTTAACTAGCTCTTGAAATGGACATTGGATATAGGCAATGACCTCGGCGGCTTTTCCGGTTTTGAGTTCCTGTGTTATCGATGTTATTTCATAAATCTGTAAGTTAAAACTAAGCTTTTTTACAGATACTCAATCACTTCAACTCTTGAATTTTTTTACACAAGCCCCGCTCTTATTTTTGATGACTGATCATTTTTTGACAGTCACACTTTATAGGGCTGGTTTGCTGGCATTGTGGAACTTACTAAGCTCAAACTATAATTGTATATGTCTTGAAAGTTAGGTTTTTATCAAGCATAATGATCGATATTGATGCCAGTCTGTCGGTGAGAAGCCCAGTGCTGTGTGATGAGCTGAAAGCTGTACGTTCGACTATTATTTGAACGAGAGCTTACAGTGAATGAAAGACATCGATAGCCTCCGGCTATAACCGAGGATACACTTATGAATTGAAAGTCATTTAGCCAGTAAGTTGAAATAACTGTATATCATATTAGCACAAAGAGATCAAGTCGTCAGGCCGAATGCCAGAGTAGTTGAAGTATTAACAGTATCTCTGGGAGGGATCGAACATAAGATTCATCAAACTACTAGTCGGTATAATAAAATAATTACCGAAAATAAAGGCGAGAAATTTGGGTGATGACAAATGATAGATGATCCCGTGCTGTTTCAAGCAGTTTTGAGCCATGTAATCCTAAGTTTCTACCACCGTTTACGATTATCATGCGTGTCCTAACCAAATAGTCTACATTTCCTAACATGGTCCGATTCAGTTGTCAATGACTTCATGAATTTGTGCGATGTTTTGGTTTGCTTCCAGCCTACTCTTACGCCAGAAAACGTCGCTCGTAAAGGCTGTTGGTTGTCAGGCACACGTTACACATGTCCGAACCATCTGAGCAAATGAAGACTCACTACTTAAATTGATTTGCCACCTTTAACTAGAAAATTTTTCCTAAACCAGGGGTTAACTACTCAGTTTCCCCAGAATATGCGGCTAATTCTTCGAATACATTTATGATCGAACAATTGTGATTCGCGAATATCCTTTATTCATAATCGCTATGTTTCACTCCCGTAAAGTAGGACGAAACGAACTGCTGGACATAAAACTCATCCCTCGGTTGGCAGACGGATATCTCTCCTAGGTTGCGAGTGACGTAAGTTACCAAAAGCCAATGGAGCATTCCTTATCCGTGCTGAGATTTCGTTAGACATCAGACCATCAGGACTGGTAATTTCCCTGAAAAATGTGGAGTAGTCAACATGATTCCTCTGTAGTTGTAACATGAGCACTTCTGTCTTTTCTGATAGAGTGGGACAATCTGTGATTGAAACCAGTTAAATGAGATAACGTCCATTCCCCAGATTATACCTAAGATTTCAGTCTATTTAACTGCTAAAATTGAACAACTCCTTAAAAATCTCAGTTGTTTATCGATCATATCCTGCTTCTCTCCCTTGCTTTCGATTATTCATAGCCTTCTCAGCCTTATTAAGATTTGGAGGACTTACATCAACTTGCCATTCAGATTAACTGGGGATCGTGGGTAACTGCGATGAGGCTCCAGGCCAGTTAAGCTTCTCCGTAAAGTGCTCTGCCATTCGATCCAATTTCTTGAATTGAGAACAAATAATAATCCTATCTTTTTCCGAGATGGTATCACTAACAGTCGGATTTATAATACCATTTCTTTTGCTTTCGTTACCCACCATTGTTCGCGATCATTGTGTATACTTCTTATCTGCCTGCGCTTAAGCTGACGCCACTCCTCATCTTGTTTTGAGCCAGATGGGATGAGTTTCCGAGCATGTCGTTTTAGCAGATACCACTGAACCGATAAATTATGTAAACTTTTGGTTTGACTTACTGGCAGAAATCACTACTTTTTCCACAGCATTTTGCTCATCATTTCACGCTACCTCAGGGTGGCTGTCCGCTTAGCTAGTTGCTCCTGAAATATATATACTCTTGGCTTTTTTATCGTCAAGCAGAACTATGAGGGGTTTGCTTTCTCTGTCTCTCTTATGTCCAGTAAACCTCAAACAAATACGTCCCCGTACTGAAGCATGATTAGAGTTTAAACCTGTGCTCCAGAACGAGCGACTGTCTTCTATCAAGCTTCTCCTTTGTAATCAGTTGTGAAGACCAACAGAACTATTTAGTTTGGGGATTCATTTACTGCCACAGTACCCATAGAGTAAAAAACCGACTCCTCATGATCGCTCGGGTAATGACGAATGACATGGCTCAAAACCGTTTGCAATGGCGCAGGTGCATTCATTCTTTCTGTTTTCTTGAATCCTAAACTTTTTAATTCTTCATCACTTTATCTTTATCTTTTTAGGTCCTTCACTAGATTCTACTTCTTGAATAATATCTAATCCTAACCTCTCCGACTACTGCTAATACCTTTACTACCTCTAATACTATTGGATTCGAATGGACAATTACACCTCTGTGCTAATGTGGTATGGCCACATGAACTGACATACGTACGTACGAAGTTCCACATTGCTATTGATTGATTGATTGATTGACAGTAACTGTAAATGAATCAAATGTGCTATCATCAGGTTACAGTAATGTCATCATGTACTTAAGATTATTTATCAGATTATTTACCAGTATTAGTAAGACCAGCAAGTTCCCAACGTTTCTTTTAGGGTTCTTCAATACAACTATCATGATTACACATGATGAAATTATAACTACGCACAAACGATACTGAGTTTGTCCGAACTTTTAATGTTATGAATACTATAAGCGTTAGACAAACATTAACAAGTTAAATGTTCCGAAGATAAATAGACCTGTGGTGGTAGAGGTAGTGGAGGCGCAGAGCAAATCCGTCCCATGGCTTATCTAGTCTCTACCTCAGTCTAAATGGTAGAAAATATCTCCAAGTATTCATATGTCATAATTTACTGACTACTGTTCAAGTTTTGTATTATGGCCATCACCTTACGTCCTTTTTCTAATCTTCGGGAATTGACACACTATATTGTAGTCACCTTGTAGTCACATTTGTGTACATAACTGCTGCCATTTCTTTGTAACACCTAATAATTTCGTTTAGTACGAACCTAACTTTATGCATTTTAGTGCTAAACAGTTTTGTTATTCTGAACAGATTAGCATAAGTAAATTGATTTTCTCCCACCGTTGCAATCAAATATCGAACTTGGGTAACTGTAGAGCTAGTTATCGGTCTACTGACAAACAGTACACCGTCGGTTAGATTTATGAAGCGCCATAAAAATTTGGAGCAAATTGACTTAGGAAATCACGAAGCCATTCGTCCTTAAAGATTAGGTTTCTGTTGGCACCTTATGGCTTAAAATTTTATATTGAATCGCAAGTACATTATAAATTATTATTTAGACACAAAGATTTTTAAAAAATGGGTTACCTAAATATTAATGCGCCACACTAATTTTTGGATTTATGATTGGGCTGGGATACTGCCCAAACGCCCAAACTGAGGCCAATGATTTTCCTAGGGTACCATACCTCGAGCCTTTGACCCTAAAATCTGATCCACAGAAAAGTGGAGTAACATGATGAGATGCAATCCCGTAGTAGCCGTTTAAAACTCCGGAATCCACTTTCCGTCCTCCTAATTTCGTAAACAACACCCCTCCCACGAGAAGTTAGTGAGTAGGAATTATCTGACAGTGGTCACATACGAATGGCCATGTGAGAACATTTCGAGTGGGGGGAGGACTCTCCCCACTCTCGACCGTACCAGGTCATTTGTGGGCCGCGAGTACAACAACACACGTGGAAAATTTCTCAGATCTCACTTTAAGATCGCGAAGGATATTGGTTACAGCATGTTAACTGGTTGAAAGCACTCTAAGTCTAATAGTCATTTTGAAGCTGCTTGCCAGTCATAGAATTTTCCAAATAAAGCGACTACTAAAGGTCAATCTTGAAGTTATTTAGTCAACTCGATACAACTATGGAGAATAAAGTTGTATCCAGAACATTGTTTAACAGATAATGTTGATTGATTATGTAACACAAATACTCATTAGCATCAAATAAATTCAAGTGATATTCAAGGATATCGAAAATTAGGTATTAGTACTTATTGTAAGCAATTTAAAATCCTAAGTCTAATCGAATCGAAATATTTCTCTTTTTCTAGGTCAATTTATAGATTCGATACATGTCGAAGCAGCAAAGTGTTTGCCGGAAACGAACTCTTTCATTTGCCGATATCACAGATGTAAGACACTAAATGTTTACATGTCATATAAGTTTTTTGGTGCTGGTTTTTTCGGTAACGTTCCATATATGGTGTTACTCATTGCTTAATATGTCACTGTTGCTGTTTTTAGTGATTATTATCACAGATTGCACTTCGATACTCTTAACTTTGGCTTACATGTTTATGTTATATCCCTCTTATTTTTCTCTTTTTTTAATAAGTCATTAGAACGAAATCATTCGTTTTGTTTCAAATGACAATAACTTTTTCAGACTTTAAGTATATATTGGTGACTAAATCTGTAGATAATGGTGCCACTGGTTAAGGAATGTTACATTATCCTCACGTTTTATTGTATAGTATGAAGATCAGATTTGTAAAACTTATAGGCTCTTAAAATTTGTAGTGAAAGTATATTTTTATTGAAATTTGTGAAACTTTTCAGTTTATAATAAGCTAATGACATTTTAGACGTGTGGAAGTTGGAATAAGCATCTTAGACCATGAACTATATTTGTGTTCCGGAATTAGTCACTGCAACTTGCAGAACTCATATGATAAGTGAAACCTAAATGTAACACTTTCATACAAAGGCTACAGTTTGTCTTCAGTTTCTTGTACAATATCTTTGCTTACAGTCTTGAAGTAGGGCAGTCACTTAAATAATTTAATCAGACTACTACTCTTAACATTAGACAAATGAGTCGAGATTTTTAGTATCAAGACCAAACAATAGTATTAATCGTGGTAAAACATTGAATATAGAGAATATCATTGAAACATCGCGAATGGGAAATATTATATGAAACTAATAATCATGATATAAAGAAAGTGGATATATCTATATCACTGAGATCAGTATTGAGCAGTTTCACCATAGAAATGCCATTATCATCATTTTCCAACTAGGAAACCAGCTCTTCTCAACATGATACGATACACGTAGTATTATTATGTGGTAGCTCCTCTCCTTTTACGAACCTACACAGGTGTTTATAGTAACCACTTTTCAACCACTCGGTTCTTGGTTTGAACCCCACCAACCTACTTTAGTTTGTTCACCTTGCTGGTATAACCAGCCATTACGCATAGAGTGTGACTTGAAGCCGCTTAGAAGACCTCTACTACTGAATATATCAGTGGTTAGGCTTACATGATCGATGTTCTAAACTAAGTTAGTGAAGCTTCACAAGGTTATCGGTCAGTTTACAGATTCTATCTTGTAGTCGACATTTGAATTCAGTTTTACTAATTCGGTGGTTCCAACATATGAAGTCAAATTACTGGGACTTAATCATATGTACTTTAACAAATCGTGAACACGGAATGATGTAGATCCAATCGCTCTTTGATTAGCAGACAGATGAGTAAGTACATATACTACAATAGATGCATTCCTTTATCAATTGCTACTAGTAGAAAAATGATTCCGTTTTGAATTTTAAGTATTTATAAAGCTACTTGTTCTTTTAGTTGGTTTCAATGCATTTTTCTCATTTAGTGCCGCAAAAGCAGCCGTACAAATTCAAATGAAAATCATGAGATCGATTCATCTAAACCATTCATTCGTAACATGGTACGACGTCCTTCTTTCACGTTTTTGGAACATCAAAACCTATCTCATGAACTGCCTTGTCTTTCAGAAAAACCTACATTGAAAGATTCGAATGCTCAATTCAAAAATGCCCGCGAATCCACTGAAATGAATGCTTCATTGAAACGAAATTCAAATTCTCAATCTGCTCTGGATTCGTTTATTTCCAGTGCATCGTTTATTGAATCGAATTCTGCCAATGCTACACTTAGTGCTATACAATTATCTAAAATGCATAGTAATTCACTAGGTCCTATAAATTCACTTCCGTTAAAATATGAGGAATATCTATCTCCATCATCACCCTTATCTTCAACTTTGATCAAATTGTATTTATCCAAGGTAACAGAAATTGTTTGTGTCGTTATAAATGACGATGGTTAGTAATGCTGTTTATGCAACCAAGAGAGATAATTTAACGCAATTTACAATCAAGATAGTACTTATAAAATGACGTGTTGCATTCACATGAATCGAACAGTGCAGACGATAGCTAATGTAGTGTTTTAGTATTTAGCATAGATAGAATTCTACCAATTAGGAAGTGCTTTGTAGACCTCATAATATGTTGTACTATGTGTACATATACATTGAGCCCATGGAGCTAGTCCCACCCTTCGGGAAAATTAATTAATCCATTCTTCTCGAGTTATTCACACGTCTTTCGACCTTGTCAATTACTGGCCTGTAACCTTAGTTGCTTTTATTCCAGTATGTGTGTACATGTTTACTTCGTTTTTATTAGATGTCTAGCCTATTTTTTGCCTGACTATAAATACTTAGTTATGCCTTATGGCGTTGAGTTGGCTCCTTCGTCTTCTCGCTCTCTCTTTACTTTGCTTGTAATGTTTTTATTCTCATATTTGTCTGCATAAACGATTGCCTGAAATAAATTCATCCAACTAAGTCCGTAGTTGGCTACCTAATACCGCCGTTGCACAAACGGAATTCGCTTAAGTATGATATAAAGAAATTGAAAGAAAGATTTATTTCATAGCATACTTGATCATTCGTCCGAATTGGAGTCAGATATTTTAGTAACATTCTATGTAGGCAAATGATTGTTATAATGATCAGCATTTACAACCTTGATATATATATATATATATATATATGTAGGTTATTTATGATATTTATGACATTTCTTGATAATTCTTTCATTTTGATCATCTGGTTTCAATAACCAGTAGTTGTGAGTTTTATTATAACATCTTAGAGCATATTTACAGTTTCAGTTTTATGGTTTATTTCTGTTACAGGTCATTGGTTTCTTGACATATTATGTATAATGTTCAGTCACTTATTAGATTAATTTGTAATATCTTAGGTTTAGTCATTTAACACAAACTAATTAACTTGATCGTTTGTTTGAAATACAATAAACTTAATAATGTAGGTTAGATATTTTCTAATTTTTTTTTTTTGTAGAAGTAACCATAAGAAAGTGTTTTAATTTTTCTAGCTTCCGATTAGTTCTAATTTTATTTTTAATGGCAGTTACAGTTAG